GCTGATTGGACTCAGGAGGTTGAGGCTGTTGAGTTAACAGTTCTCTCATTTGTTGGATAGCCAACTTCATTTCTGTCTTCACTTCAGCTCTAATTTCTTCACGTTGTTTGGCTAGAGCTTCTTGAAGTATTTGAGCAAATTGATCAGAGGTGATCGTGAGTACTTCTCTGGTTTGTCCCGTGCTAGACATTGTATCATCAGAAGCGATTGCAGAACAAGTGTCCGAGAATTCATCCTCCGAGGACATTCCTTCTTGCATTCTTTTGTAATCTCTGCGTCTGATGGCTCCTAATTGGAGTCGAGACATCCTTTGAGCAATTCTTGGATTGACTTTTCCTTTCGGGGAAAAGTCGGGATTTGAGTCATTTGAATGCCGCTTAGACTTTCTTTTATCAGCCACGTTGATGGTGACTTCAGGGAATTCATCATCTTGGGCAGCTGATTTTCTCTCGCGGAAATGTCTCGGCTTAGGCTTCGACGATACAGAGACTCTTCGTGGGATGGCTTCTCGTTTGAAACAATCACATCCTGATAATGCTGCTTTAACGAGTCGCGCACAGGAACACCGAGAGTTTATTTCTCGAATAACTCTCTTTCGAAAATTATTCACAACCCCAACTTGATAATACGATTCATCGGTATGATTACCAAAAAATCGTATCGTCTGTTGGCATGACCTCCCAGGTATGACGATATCATTTGGTGAATGCGTCTTCTTCTGGGGGTGTAAAACCTTGTTGGCATTCTCAGGACAATTTATTTTTGTCTTTGAGCGATCCAAGGTTATGTCGGGAGTCGCACGTCTAAAACCACCCCCTTGCGGGTATGGAGTCTTAACGGGCTCTGAATGCTGATTTTGCATAAGTCCAGACTTTGGAATCCAAACTTGGCAAAGTTTCGGTGTTTCTTTGGTCACCGTTTCCTTCCTCCTTTCTCGTCTTTGTTGTAGTAGAGTTCGGACATGAGCAGCATTTGCACGACGTTTTTGTATACGTTCTTTGAGGGTCGAACGAGTCCTTTTGACAATAGTCCATTCCTCCGTCGTGAATTGTGCAGAAACATGAGTAGTTTGTCGTTGCGTTGAACAAACCACTTGTTGTTTCCTCGACTCTAAATCCGCAAAATAACGAACTCCGTCGGTTTGTTCAAATGCCTTAGCTAATTGACGAGCGCGGCGTTGGCGTCGCCTCTGACGAGCCCTCTTCGTCAGTGGTGAACTTCGATCGAACGACTCCTTAATTGGGGAGGAATCATCTTGAGCAGAGCTGTTGCGAGTAAAATCCTCAGCAACAATCGGACGAGAGTCTTCATCCGTAGCATTTGATAACTTCAACGAAGATGAAATCTTCCTGCACTTGCGAGACGCGGAAGACTTTACAGATGAGGATGACAAATACTCCTCAAACTTCGCTTGGTCGAACTCGTACTCGACCGTTGATTCAACCAGGATCTTGATGATTGGCTGCGACACGACGGTCTCGGCAGCGAGACCGTTGGCTCCCACTGTGGTCGCCAGCTTGTTTGCGTCAAAAGTTGGTTTTGTCATGGAATTCATTATATCTTCAGTCGATTAAAATAAATTCAAAAAGAGATAGCCTTTTTATAAGACTTCCTTTACACAACAAAATAAAAATTACAACTCTTGAGAAACAAACGCAGGATCGTTGTTTGGATCACTGCTTGCGTGAGATCTTTGCCTGTGCCGGGGGTGCGTTAGCCCGTGGACCACCAAATCACAGATTCTGATCGAATCGTGAGGGGTTTATGATTCTGACTTCGTTTATCGAAGTGAGAACTTGAAACGATATCTTATCAAGGTAAGATAGTCGTTCTTCTTGAAATCAAGTCAAAGCCTGAATATCAAGGAGTTGCCAGAAACTCAAGAACTCTGCTCTTTCTCTGCTCTGAAGTGCTCAAAATGATCAGCCCCCCTGAGAAAATAGCCTTCGGGGTAGTATATATAGCCTCTAGGAACAGTTGGCAGAAAAATGTTCGCGAGACAGCTTTTGCTGTCTCGACGGCTGGGCGAGACAGTGTTTGCCGTCTCGCGCCCGCGAGACAGTAAACACTGTCTCGCGGAACAGTAACCGCAGGCAGTTTCCATCTTAACTGCCTTCCCACGTTTCAAACTCCGTTATTTTGGCAGTTATCCACGTGATTCTCGCCCACGACGTTTCCCACGTTCTTGAACAGTTAGTGGCCACGTGTAGGGCAGTTACAAGGGCGGTTTTGACCATCTGAAAGCTGTCTCCCGCGCGAGACAGTAAATTCTGTCTCGCACGGCGAGACAGTAAAGACTGTCTCACGTGGGCGAGACAGCAAAGACTGTCTCGCGTGGGCGAGACAGTAAAAGTCTGTCTCGCCCGCGAGACAGTAAAGACTATCTCGCACGGCGAGACAGTAAAGACTATCTCGCGCGGCGAGACAGTTAAGTCTGTCTCGCACGGCGAGACAGTCAAGACTTGTGTTCTTCTGCCTTTTTGGATGATTTCCTCTTGAGCTATATTTGGATATCTTTCAGCATTTTTTGACGCCTACAAATATGAGATCAAAAAATGGGACAGATGAAGTGTCCTATATCTCTATTGTATAAACTCATTATGCAATAGAAAATGGACACTTCACATGTCCCCTTCCAATGATCTCATATTTTGGGTCCATGTAAGAGCGCTCATGAAAATATAGATACCTAACACACAACACGAAAACTGCTAACACGCGCGCCGTCCTGCACGTCTACGGCACGTGACACGCAGACCAGCACCTGTGCCGCATGGTGTTGGCATGAACGCGCAAGATAATGAAAAATATCTGCTACAAATTAGTATTAATATGGTATAAAATATTAATCATACGGCTGTTGTGAGTAAAAATATCCGAAGTTTGTTGGGCGTCATTGCGTCAATGTTGTTTTCGATCAAGCTCTGATAACGAGTTCTAGATATTATGCATCCGGTACGACACTTGGAGGATGCTCCGTAACTCATAAGTTGGGCTTATTATGTTAATTGACGTCTCTTTCTTCCGCGTGTCCGAAATCATCGAAGGCGGTGACGCGTTTGGATGGGGAAATTTATTTTCTCAACCCACCCAAAAATAATAACCTTTTGAATATGGAGAGAGTAAATTAAATAGATGTTGCAAAGATATAAGATACTTTTATTTACACGTTTTAATATTTATTATAATAAATGATACTCAAATTATCTAATTTTTGATAATCCATACGATTCAAGTCATTAGGATAAAATCATTTGTATGCTCACGTACTTTAAAAAAATAGGTTACAGATAAAAATAGAAAAGAAGAAGCGGTAGCTAAAAAAAAAAAAAATTCTACCTAATTCTATGTTGAATCCAACATTCATGTAAAACTCCCGGGTCTCCTATTTGAACAATTTTTCAAAACCGACTGAAATTTTTTTTTTTTTTCAAAACCGACTGTTTTTTTTTTATTTATCAAAATCGACCCGGTTTTGTGATTAGCAGGCTAATCACTATCCTAAATAGTCGGGGTTGGCAACCCCGACTATTTAGGATAGTGATTAACCTGCTAATCACCCTTTAATTAGGGTTTAACACCCTCCTAAATAGTCGGGGTTGCCAACCCCGACTATTTAGGATAGTGATTAGCAGCCTAATCACAAAACCGGGTCGATTTTGATAAATAAAAAAAAAACAGTCGGTTTTGAAAAAAAAAAAAAAATCAGTCCGTTTTGAAAAATTGTTCCTCCTATTTCCTACCGCCAACAATTTGATCGCGAAGTAGTCGAACTAGCGTGACTCAAAATCCAAATCCCATTTGCCATGAGAAACGTTAACCGGCTAAAACAAGTCAAACGTCTAGATCGTCCCCCAAAAATTCCATGCCGAGCGTCCAAGTCATCCACCAATTTCTTGAAGAAGAAAAAAAAAACATTTGCCTGCAGGTGAGAATGGACACGCGTCAGTCCAGTGCTCCCTCCCAAAAGAATGCCACTTGGTGCTATTTATTAGCATCTAAAAAGAAATTTTCCACCAAACTGTGAAACGTGTCCCCGCACCAGCCTACACGTGGAAACACCGTCCAATACATCAGCCATCAAAAAGACTTTTTATTTTTTACCCCCTCACTCACATATTCGCGCTCATCAATAGAAATAAGAAACAAATTACAAATTACACCGGAAGATTTCGTGTGCAATGAGGATGTTTTGAACTATAAAGTTGAAAGTTGAGATGTTCAAACTGTATAATAAACATATTAAACTAATATAACAAGTATATATGGAGAGGAAATGAGAACATCTAAAGGAGCATGAAACTTAATACACACCTTATGAATTGAGATAAGCTATTATTAATAATGTCACCATTTAAATATATCAGTATCATATGTGGTCAAAAATCTAACATTTCATAATTTTTATAACATCGCTTGATTTTTTTTTCCCACCTTCTGATACATGATTTAAAACACATCGATATTCTTTCAAATTTTATTTGTAACTACTTAATGTGTTATGTTACAAACAACAGTTTTGAGTTTCAATTCCAATATCTGAATTTTTAACTTTAGATAAATAATATTTGCATATTAGAACCATTAATTAACACTAGCCCACACCAATGTCATTATCATTAGAACAGTCAATATGTACTCATAATATTAAAGCTAGATTAGGTATCATCTTATATCATTTTCTTGGAACACACTTTTATGAGGAGTTTTCCCAACAAATATTTGTCATGCCAAGTGTCCTAAAGCAGAGTACAGAGTCTAGAGACAGCAAGCCACCCAGCGGGGCCCACGGCCACGCCAAACAGCGACAGGGCGCTGTGACACCGCGTGTGGGACTCAATAACGCCAGCTGTCCCGTCCGCGTCCCACGCGTGGCCGCACCGCGATGAGAGGGGCTCGCGATGCCCAAAACCAAACGGCTCGGATCTCCTCAAAAAAGAAACACGAACGTCACCACATCAAACTATGCCTTTCCCGGGCCCCACTGCCTCAATAACCGGCAGCTGCCGGTCCAACGGCACCAGTTCGGCGAAAAGGCGGGCGCCCCTTCCCCCTTTTTATTCCCCCGCTCACGGTTCGAAACCGAAATAATTTCGAAAATATATCATCAATTCTTCAAGGCTTTTTTTTTTTAATCAACTAATGGCGCAGATTTGCTCCGATGCCACGACCGAGATGTGCGAGGCGAGCCCACGCGCTCCGCGGCGGCGGAGGGAGGAGGTCGGGCGGTTCAATTTCCTCGCAGGAGTCGACGCCACGGCGATCGCCGGCGAGTTCAGCCGGAAGAGGAAGAAAGTCGAGATCGCGGGAAGCGATAGGGGGTTGAGTGGATGGGATCGGTGTCCGAGGTACGGGATGACGTCCGTTCGTGGGCGGAGGAAGGAGATGGAGGACGCCGTATCGATACGGCCGGATTTTGCAAAGAGAAGCTCCGGAGCCGACGGAAAGCTTCATTTTTTCGGTGTTTTTGATGGCCACGGCTGCTCTCACGTGAGTTCGCTAATAAAAAAAATTCTACAGACGCGTTCCTCTCTCTCTAATCTTCCAATTTTGCTGATTTTTTTTTCTGGGAATCTGATGGCTCAGGTGGCGACTTTGTGCAGAGACCGGATGCACGAGATCGTATCGGCCGAAACAGATCGTATCGGGTCGGAATCTGATAAGCGCTGGCGGAGATTAATGAGCGCGCAGCTTTCGCAGAAGGATTGACCGCCGCGAGGCCGATTAGCCCACCCTGGCCGCGCGGCAAGTTGGGCGCCGCCAAAAAAAAAAAGGGGCGGAAAAAGGCCGCCCCCAAGGGCTGGGCCGGCTGCGAGCTCCAATACCCTAAAATCCGATCACGTGGGGTCCACCGCCGTTCGTCGCCGTTCGTCTCCAGCAGGTCCAACGCGTCCAACGCCTGACCAACCCTCGCCGCATCCGTGCCTCCCTCCCTCTCGATCCCACGCTCCCCGGATCATCCCCATCCATCACGGCCGTCGTCCTCCGCCCACCCAACAAGTCCCGCGTTTCCCCCCTCTCGATCGCGACGAGCCTTTTGAGCGATCCCGGCTGGTCGGTATCCACACGGCCGAGGGTGCTCGGCGCTGCTGCACACTCCTAAGGCGCCACCCCCGGGCGCCACCCCGCAGGAAGACGATGCCTGACCTGACCAGCGACGGGCTGTGGGACGTGGTGAGCAACGAGGTGGCGTGCAATGTCGTTAGGATCGGTCCTGCGGGGCAGCAGGCCGGGGGGCGGGTAACGAGTCGGGGAAGGGCGTGCTCCGACGCGGCCGTGTTGCTGACGAAGTTGGCGTTGCGAGGCGGAGCGCCGACAATGTGAGCGTGGTTGTGATCGACCTCAGGAGGACCTTGTAGCTACGAGTTGAAGGAGAACTTGTTATGGTTTTTGCTTATTTATTTGTTTTTTATGTTTTTATTTTATTAGGTGAATTAGTCGATATTGGTTGTTGGGCGAGGTGTAAATGAGGAGGGGCTCCTTCCAAGAAATCCAGGTTGAGGAGTTGGTATATAGCAAGCGGCGGAGGTGAAAATGTTAATTGAGATTCCTCGAATTTTTCTTGAATTGTTTGAATGATAGATGACAATATAGTTCATGTCAAACTATACACGATCGTGTTTTTATAAAGTTGTTACGTAGAGAACTACTGTTTTAGTGATCACGGTAAGTTGGCGTCACGGAAGAAAGAAATATTTCAGGGACGGGAAGAAAGGCTAGAAAGAAGAACAAAAATGGTAACTGGTTTTTGCGGAGGGGCTAAAATCTAACAATCATGGTTGTGTGTTTTGATTATAACTCTTTTACCATTTCAACTACGTAATAATAATCATCAAACGTCACGGGTTTTTTTTAAAGCTTTATGAGCTCTAGCAATATCAGATTCGCCATTATATACCCTAAATTATATAAAGTCTTCGCCATTATATACCCTAAATTATAAAGTCTTCGAGCATGCGCTTAGATATTACCGAGTTTTTAAAATTTGTACTTACATACCCTCTAAAGTTTTTTAAACTTGTACTTAAATACCCTCAATTAAACAAATTGAGAGTATTTAAGCACAAATTTTAAAAACTTTAGGGTACATAAACCTAGTGAGGGTATATGAAGTGCGGCGGAGGAAAAACTACAGGGTATTTAAGTGTAGTAGTTAAGCCTTCTAGTAATAATACTCTACAAAAGAAATTTTCAAAATCGTCTCAACAGAATTTTTTTAGAAGAAATAGCCCTATTCACTTTTAATTATAAAAATCGATCCAATTTGAGTTAATTGCGATACTAATTTGTCGTGGTTTCGGTTGAGGCAATTTTGAAAATTTCATCATACTCTACAACATAATAATCAATTGGGACGTTAGGCTGAATGTCGTGTAGGGAAAAGTAGAGACGGACACGTCATGCGAGACTAGTGCGGTGGCACAGAAAAGAAAGGGTCAGGGGCGGGCAGAGGTAGGGCATGGGTTGGGTTGATTACTTAAGCACGCTTGACTGGAATTAGGAGGAACAACAACGGGTGGCAAAGACTATTAACGAGGCTAATCTCTGAATGGAGATTCGATGGTGACGTGTCATTAAACACCCTTGTCTTAGAAACTTTTTAGGTAGGGACCAGCTACAATGAGGCTACGTGTTACGTGTTGATTATTAAGGTAGGATAATTAGTCGTGACGATAAATATCATAAGGAACAGATTTGGATTGAAGATTAGTGAAGGCTAATATAACAGTATATAATAGTCAATCTGAATGCTGACGACTATCGATAATCCAGCACCGTGGAATCCATATACATGTAAACAGTCCACGATCCATACAGACCCCAAGTTATTTTCTGCCAGAAACTAATAGAATGAATCTAATTACCATTAGCCTCAGGATTTACCGCGGTTCGGTTCGACTTGGTTAGAATCGGTCAAAACCGATCGAACCAACCGTGTCTGTTCACACTTAATCATGTAGCCTATTTGGTAACTCACACACTAACCAAGATAATAAAACTAGCTTTTAAGGGCTTAAGATGTTTTTGGCAGACACCCGTACAAGACTGGACTACTTTTTTTTTTTTTCAAAAAAGAATCTCTTAACTAGGATATCTTTTAATCGGTCGAGATCTTAACCGGATTAGTGCAAAGTTGGCAAACTCGCTCTTTAGATTATCAAAGTAAGATCCAGTCGAGAAAAGATCATAAGAAAGCGGATGTGTGAAGCCATGAAGCCTAATCATAGCAGAGTCAATCTGACTGCTGAACACTATCAATTATTCACCACTATATGTGGGATTAATATAAATGAATCAATCAACAATCAACATGAGTGCTGCTATAGAACCCCACTAAATAAAAAAAAAGAAAAAAAAGTAAAAAGTAGAAAAAGACACACATGATAAACAGTAAACAACGATTCAAAGATACTGGAGGTAAGGCGTGACTCTGGCTTATGGGCTAAGCGAAGGGTTGGATAACGAGAGATTGCAAATTTAAAACAGGACGGTGGCCTTTTAGTATAAAAGAAAAGAAAGAACTAAGATGTAAAACTTTAGGATGTTGTCCAAATATATGCAAAAATACCACGACTTTTACCTAACTCCAGAGAAATACGAGTCCAATAAACTCTTGCACCTGATTGTTTCTTAAGAGTTCTTTTCCTTCAGTCTGGAGCGCTCTCTGCTTCCAGTAATCTTTATCGGTGCCAAATAAACTGAAACATGATGAGGTACTTAGAAAGCTAGTGTATAAACTTCATAAATAAGATTCTAAGCCCCGAATGTACGTAATCGATCTTTTGAGAAATATGCCACGAGAAAAAAGAATCGAAACAGGTGGTGCTAGTTTTGTTATCGAAAAAGTCGAGCTATGATTATGGTGAAATGTACCGCGGATAAAAGTTTACGCTTTACAAACAGATGTGTCGCGCCCCCCAGGATCCGAATGGGTTCAGACCCCAGGGTCGCGACAGGAGGAAAATAGTGTCATTGAAACAAAAATTGCGTGTTGGCATGAAGTACTGCATAATCAAGAGAAACCTAAGAATTTATGCCAAACATAGTCCAAGGTAATATGCCGCAGCGTTTCTCAGTCCACGGACCGTGGAGTGACCCAGGAACGGTCATTGATATTAGATGCCCCCTCAAAACATGCACAAGGATCACATAAGAGCGTGAGAATTGTTGGTTTACTGGTCAAAAGAAAATGCACAACCAAGTCTTTATATCAAAATGCTATATAAACTAATGTTTAGCCCATGGGATTAAGCTAAAATAGCACAACCAAGTCTTTATATCAAATTTTGGGGATGGGCTTTAGAAACCCCTTATCCTCCGTTCAGGTAACGGAAAGAATCCAAATAAGCCCAATTTTCTTGGAAATGAAAATATAAAAGTCCAATGAGGTTTCTAGGCGGGCAAAACCCCAATAAAATTGTCAACTTCAAAATTTACGATTTCATGAGGTAACCTATGATTTTTGTAAACTTTGGTTCATTTCGGATAAAAGTGAACTTATTAGGTGTACATAAAAATTTAAAATTTTCATGGGCTGTAACCTATGATTTTATGACAATTATGATTCCGTGTTGATCGAATGTAAATGAACTATATGTACATAAAAGAATGCAAATAAATTATGCGGAGATCAAAATTTGCGTTTTTCATGAGTTGTAACCTATGATTTTAAATTTTGGTTTGTTTTGAACAAAAGTAAAATAAACTGCATGTACATCAAAATTTGTCATTTTCATGAGCTATATAACTCACGATTTTTTCAAGTTTGATTTGTTTTGAACGTAAGTACCTAAATTATGTGTACATCAACAATCATGATTTTCATGAACTATTACCCACGATTTCATCAATTTTCATTTGAGTTGAACAAATACCTATGTATTATGTGTACGTTAAAATTTATGATTTTCAAGTGCTATAATCCATTATTTTTTTTGAATTATGTTTCGTTTCAAATGATGGTAAATAAGTTATGTGTACATGTATATTTGCAATTTTCATTAGATATAACCCATGAATTCTTTAATTTTGGACAATTTCGAACGAAGTAAAATTATTATGTGAACGTCAAAATTTACAATTTTCATTGACTATAACTTATGATTTTTGACAACTTTGGCTTGTTTCAAACAAATGTAAATAAATTATGTATAAATGAATATTGCAATTTTAATGGGCTATTATTCATGATTTTTGATAATTTTAGTTTGTTTTTAATGAATGTAAATAAATTATGTCTATATAAAAAATAATGGTTTTCATGAGCTATATCCCAATAAATTTTATTAATTTTGGTTCACTTCGAATGAAAGTAAACTTATTATGCATATACAAAATTGGCGGATTTCATGGGCTGTTAAGCCACAATTATTGATAATTTTGGTTCATTTTGAACCAATGTTAACAAATTATGTGTACATCAAAATTTGTGATTTTAATAAGCTATAACCCCATGACTTTTTCAATTTTGATTCGTTTTGAACAAAATTAACTGAATTATATTAACATCATAATCATGATTTTCATAAGCTATAACCCACGATTTTTGTGAATTTTGTTTGTTTTCAACAAATGTAAATATATTATGCATACGTCAAAATTTGACGTTTTCATAGGACATAATTAGGGGTGCAAAAAGATCCATACTTGAGGAAATATCTACCATTAGG